CATAGATAGCTCTAAATCACTGGAAAAGATTTCACTGAAAATATTTTCCCTGAATATTTTGAGACTTTAAAAAAAAATAATCCTATGACATGATATGAAATTATTATTACTTTATGCAGGTGCATACCAAAGAAACAAGTTTGCTTGACTAGTTTTGGAAAGTTTGAATGTAGCCAGCATGAATGTGTGCCAAGGCAGTTAAATTGTGACCAGACACGGGATCCTGTTTGTGACACAGACAATGTGGAATACAGTAACTTGTGTACTTTGTACCAAAAAGGAAAAAGTTTAGCATACCGAGGACCATGCCAGGTAGGAAGTGGTTCTAGCGATAAATATCAAATCTTCTTTGTTCTTTAATGTTCAGCTTGGCAATATTCTGGGTTTTATGGCTCACAAAACATTTTCATTTAAAGTAATCCTTTAAAATGTAATTTTCACAAGTATAGAAATACTCTCACAAAATTATATTCAGAATTTTGTCAAGTGTTTCTCTGCTTTAGTTAACAGTTGTCTCAAATCCAATCAAAAGCTTTACTTATGCTTTCTTGGGGATAATACTCTGATATTTATAAATGCTATTGCTCTTTTAACCCACTTTTAGTTTCTGCCTTTCTGTCTTTATACCTTCTTTTTCTTGCCCTTTTTCAGCAACCTCGTTAAGTACAGATAATTCTTCTCATTGCACATCAGATATCTCATGAGAGAATGTTCAGCCCTTGAACAGTAAGAATCAAAGGAATATTGCATGGCCGTTTATCTTCTCCAGCAGTTATATGTCGAGTTGTATTCATGTTCATGAAGTCTTTGACACTGGTAGCTTTTAAGTTTTTACTCTTCCTTTTATAGGGAAGGTGACTGCAAGATATGAAACTTTTTGGGGTGCTCACATTTACTTGTCCTCTGTTTTCTTCTTAGCTTAGGTGTGTAACATAGAAACTATAATTGTCTTGCTTTTTTAAAGGATATACAGTGATCATATAGCTATGGTGACTTACTTGAAATACGAGTTAGATTAATAAAATATTTAGACTATATCAAGAAATTATGGAATTATGGAATGAGTTGTGTCATTTCACATGACTTTGGACAAAAGTGTTAGTCATACCGTGTCTGCAAAGAGTCAGCAGTTCCATTTGTTTCTGTCCGTATGCAGAAGCTTAAGGTTATTGGCATTTGACCTCTTGAATGTGTTGAACTGATACACATGCAAGGTGGGATAGGAAGAAATTATATTACAATTTTCTTTGATTTTTACATGTGTTTGAATCAAATGGCACGCTAGATACGTTTTTCTGAGAGAAAATGGATACAATAGATGTATTTTTATAGATGTAAAGGTCTCAACAATAAATACATTTTTGACAGAGGCATCTAGTAATGGATTTTATTCTTCTGAAATAAATGTATACATTTAGCTTCTCAAATGTGTTAGAAATACATAGAATCATAGAATCATTTAGGTTGGAAAAGACCTTTAAGATCATTGAGCCCAACCTTAAACCTAGCACTGCCAAGTCCACCACTAAACCATGTTCTTAAGTGCTACATCTACATTCTTTCAAATACCATCCAGGGATGATGACTCAACATCGGCACACATGCTAAATTTTAAGAATCATAGAATCATAGAATGGTTTGGGTTGGAAGGGACCTTAAAGATTATCTAGTTCCAACCCCCCTGCTGCGGGCAGGGACACCCTCCACTAGACCACGTTTCCCAAAGCCTCATCCAACCTGGCCTTGAACACTTCCAGGGATGGGGCCTCCACAACCTCTCTGGGCAACCTGTTCCAGTGCCTCACCACCTCACAGGAAAGAATTTCTTTCTAACATCTAATCTAAATCGACCCTCCTTCAGCTTAAACCCATTACCCCTTGTCCTATCACTACACTCCTTGATAAACAGTCCCTCATCATCTTTCCTGTAGGCCCCTTTAGGTACTGGAAGGCCACAATTAGATCTCCCTGGAGCCTTCTCTTCTCCAGGCTGAACAACCCCAACTCTCTCAGCCTGTCCTCATAGGAGAGGTGCTCCAGCCCTCTGATCAGCTTTGTGGCCCTCCTCTGGACTCGCTCCCACAGCTCCATGTCTCTCCTGTACTGGGACCCCCAGAGCTGGACGCAGTACAGAAAACAAAAATGCACTGAGATGAACGAATACATAAATTATTAATAAGTCATTATAATATCAATAAATACTACAATAGCAAATGTTTTATTCCTAAAATAATTTTATTGATAAAATAATACTTTATTACATAATGAATTTATGATTACCTTAAATTAATTTAATAAGTTCATTTAAATGACATGGTCATTTTTTTAAGCATTAGCACAGAACAAAAATTGTTTCCCAAAACATTTCTTATACATTTCTCAGATTCTAACTTACATTTTTTGTCACCTTCTTTAAGTACTTACTCTTTGCATTTATTACCCATTCATAAACTGGCAGGTCATTTACTCTAGATTTCCTACTTTTTTGAATGTTTGACAATATTATCAGCAAATTCCCATTAACTTTGTTTTTCCTAATATTAAGACTACTCTGAAGTTTTGTCTGTAGCATGAATAAATTGATCTTTCAAACATTTCTCTGTGTTTCAGCCGTTTTGCAAATCGTTGGAACCTGTATGTGGACATAACGGGGAAACTTACAGCAGCGTCTGTGCTGCCTATTCCGACCGTGTGGCTGTTGACTATTACGGACACTGTCAGGCCGTAGGCGTTCTCTCAGACTATGGTTTTCATACAGAATGTGCCTTTGTTAAATGTCCCCAGCTTTCTGCTACTGGCTGCAAACCGGTTATTGCACCAGGTACGTTACTTCGTTGTTGAAGTTTACTGCAGATAGGAGAGTGTCTCCAGGCTGTGTGTATAAATAGGTGCATATTGGGAACAAAACTTATGCTTTAAAATGTTGTCTTCCATGATGTCTTTGAGACCTCTAAGAGGAAGGATGAAGTAGAGATCATTCCTTAGGGCTGGGACAAGCCAGTATCAGGACTCAGCTGAGTAATTCTGAAGTGATGCGGCCTTGGCCTTAGGAGTCAGACTCCTTCAGTCTTGAGAAACTTGCAGCTGTCCCTGTAGGACTGGTTTGGGAGAAATGAATGAGGTCTGTGGTGTCTGGGGCAGAATGTCACTGGGAAGCAGATGAGTAATTTTTCGGAAGTGGCAGCACAGATACCACACTGGAATGCCAAACTATCATCAAAGTAGAGTTCCCAGAAGAACAAGGATTATATTTAATTATAAGACAGAGTAAGATACCATATGTATTTACAATACTGTGAAAGAGGAAGAGAGTAGGAATAGTTTTGCAGTTGTGCTGTTTTGAACTGTTTTTTTATTGTTTTCACAAATACTTTCATTATGAAACAGTCACTAACTAATCACAGGTAGTACAGTTTTTTAAAAGGAAACCGTTTTAAGCATTTTTGTCATTGACTGGTTTGAAAAAGGGTCTTTGTGCTTTGATATTACATTTAATATTCTAAAAGTCACCCTGTGAATGTGAATTATATATAGTAAGTTGGGGGGATGAATTAAATACACAGTCCTGAGTAGAAATTTGAAATCTTAGCCCTTTGGTTTCTGAGAAAGTGAGGAAAAGCAGTAGGAGAAATATGCTTCAGTGTTAAAAACAACTCTGTCAGACAAGTAGTTTTTCACTCCTTTTTATATAAAATTCTAAGCTCCAGCATGGTATAACTGCATAAATTAATGTTTGCAGTGTGCATACTTGCTTCTGTCATGTCTGAGCTATTGCAGCTCTTGAAATTCATCATTTCTGTAGCTGCATCTGCATGCATCCATACAAAACCTTGGCTTGTACTACACAAAGTGCCTGTGGTTTTTAACTTAAAATAATGTATCATCTTGAAACAAGTGAGAATTCATCATGTTGCTTCATGTTGATAGTAGTAAATGTGTGTTGAAAGGTCACTGCTTCTGCATTATAAATGTTTTTTAACATTTAAAAAACTTAGAAGTTGTGCAGTTCTGCTATCAAATTGAAATATTTACTTTGCTTTGGTAGTTTTGCTATTTTCACTCTCAGTTAACATTCAACATTTGACCTCTGCTTACTTAAAGTGAAAAGACTATTTTCTTTTATTTCTGAGATTTTTTTGTTCATGTAGGAGCCTGCTGTCCACTATGTGCTGGAATGCTGAGAATCTTATATGACAAGGACAAGCTGGATACTTTTGCAAGGGTAAACCGTTTAATCATGCCTTATGTTAAGTGGAACATGGAAAAGTCAAGTTACTGTATACTCCCAAAAAGTTATAAAACCAATTATTTTTCAGTAGATAGTGTGTGATTTTATGTTTTTCTTTATACTGTTTATACTTTCCTTTATGTCTTAATATCAGGTATAGAAATTTTATTACAATGCAAAGCAAAACAGAATTAGAGTAGGCACAAACAAGCACATTCAGGTTTGCAGTTTAAATGACTTGTAATAGTGAAGACAAATGATACAGGAACTGCATCTGTCTCATGGTAGTAATACAGTGCATATTTGTTATTTATGGCCTTTTTGTTAAGATTATTCTGTTAGCTCATTATTTGCTAATGTAGGTAACCTAGTTCTGACATTGTCTTAGGTTTAAATTGGATTGTTTTAGATTCTTTGGGTTATCTAGATAGTTGTCACTGGTTTTGTTGCTCATCAGCTAAAATGTTGGGTTTTAATTTAACATCTCTGTAAGTTAGACACCAGCATCCTTCATTGCTGGTCTTTGAAAACCTCCAGTGTAAGATGGATCTTCTGATGTTGATTGTCTGTCACTGAACACAACATACTAGGCCCAGACTCCCAGTGTGGTATGTGAAAGGATTGCACTTTATTGACCCCTGCTTTTATGCTTCAGTATATGGAATAGAGCAGAACGCTTGATTTTGGCACGACACCACAACAAATAGAGTAATGTGACGATCATGCCTAGTGAAGCAAAACAATTCATGTTTGCATCTGCACATGCAATTTTAATAATATAATTTTGATTTTTTTAATTTTGGTTGGTTTTTTTTTAATATCAAGAAGAAAGAGAATTTCCCCAAAACAATATAAAATTACATTAGCTTATTTATATATTTAGAAGTAGAGGGAATTAGCTATTATTGTAAAAGCAAAGAAAAATTTAGCATGAACAGGACCCCTGGAGTGGTCTTGTCCAACCCCTTGCTCAAAGCAGGGTTACCTCCGGTTAGATCAGCTTGGCCATCTGAGTTTTTAAAACCTTCAGGAGTGGAGATTCCACAAGCTGCACGCTGCTGGACTCTCTCCAGTTCATCACTGTAGCCTGGGGAGGGGTGGGGGGTGTAAATAAAGGGGATGATGACTTCTGCTGGCTCTGTCCTTGCTGTTGCAGCCCAGTGGGTGGTTGGCCTGCATCTCAAGGCTGTGCTGCTGATCGATGTTATACTGATTTCCTCTCAGAGATCTTGTGTTTGTGTGTGCTCTGTGTGTGTGCGTTGACCAATTTTGCTGAGTAACAGTGTCTGTTAGGTCATGACTGCATCCTGGAATGTCCTCCAGTTATCATCTCTAGTGGTACCAGGCACACGGTGACCACTGCAGCTTCTCAGTTCATACATTACAACATGTGGCTGTAAGAAGAATTTTAATTTTTAGTTAGAAGAAGGCTTTATAATTAAAGAAATTTATTGGACTTATTCAAGAAGTTATTCAAGCAGTTGGTGATAACTTAACTACTCTCACCTACTAAAAGTACCCTAACACCTGGATTAAGGTACTTACTACTTGATTTTTTACTTCTTTTTTCCCTCCACTTTTTTCTTCCCTTTGTCACCACAGTCTTGCTGACTTTCTCTTCTCTTGCTCACCTAATGCCACAATACAGAGTCTTCAGGTTTTCAGAACTCAAATATATAAATATATATAGATCTTTACATTTAAAATATGTGATCTCTCAAACTTTCAAGTCAGCATTCTCTTAGCACATTCTAGAAATTGCAGAAGTGTCACAGAGTGATGCACTTCACTCACAAGAGAGAAGCATCAATGTATTTCATTGATACAAGACAGTGAGTTAACAAAGTTCAATGGTAAATGCGACAGTGGTTTAACAAGATTCAATGGCAAGGTACAGTGGATTATTTACTGCATAGAGGACAGGGTCAGACAAAACTGTCAGGGAGACCCTCCCGTTGAATCATGAAGTTCAGAGGGGACCCCCCCTTGCTTTCTAAACTCCTACTCAGAGGAGTCTAGGTGCATCTAGGTCCAGTCCTAGTCTCAGACTTAGTCAGTAGTTTATGTGTAAAGGATTGTGCACAATCAATCCCTTATATCACTTTTAGCTAAGATTTTCAAAGTTTCAGTGCGCTTATTCCCAATTCACTTAGTGAGCATCTGACGTGATAAGGATTCTCTCAACCTCAAGGAGTAACCTTGAGAGGCATCCCTGCTCAAGGGGAGATCCTGGCGTGCTGAAGAGCTCAATGGGCTCTTGGGCTGCTCACTGCTTATGGGAGTAAGATGATTGACTCATATTTGCATACCAACCACAGATGTGAGTTTCTTCCAAATTTGGCTTGAGTCGGACATTGACCAGCACTGTGGTTAGGTGGGCACATTGCTCAAATTAGCCCTTGTCATTATCTGTCTCCAAATCCACTTTGAGCTGGGTGTAGCCATCACAACCAGACACATCCATTACCACCGCCACTGGTGGTTATCACTTGAGTGGGGTTACAGGAAATAAAGAGCAGGGGTGGTGGGAACACATTGTCACAAGAAGTTTGAAGCTCTCTCCTTTGGAAATTTCAATCAGGGGTCATCCAATAAGACCCCAGAGATGATCTCTAACTGGCCACAGCCACCTGGAGACTGTGCGTGGTGTGACACTAGCCTGAGCATAGAGAGTTAGAAGCTAATAACCTTTGTTACTCCAGTGTGAGTCAGAGGCCAGCTAATATCTCCTAATAATACAATAGAAGATGCCCAACTGTGTATTTGAGTAGATTTGATAATTTTGTCATCTACATGAAATTAGTAACACTCATCTCCTCTGAATTCATCAATAAAACTATAGGATTGTTGTGCAGCTCTTGCTTTTGACAGTGTACGTATCCATATAGTGTAGACATCCGTTGTAGTGGATATGGGTAAGTCTCAGATAGATGGAATCATTGCTAGAAATGCTAGCATACACTTTAACCAACTCAAGAGGGCAAGGAGTAGTAATGTATGCCTAATTTAGTTCAGACAGGTGGTTCATATGAGAAAAAAACAATTCAATTACTGCAGAGTTCTATAAATCTGACTTTTTTTTTCTCCCCCCACCCCTCTCGCCTTTTTTGTAAAGATAGTAGGAAACAAAAGTCAGCAAAGAAACACTAGAGATCTGCTAAGATTCTAATCTTATCTACTAGATTTCTAATCCCAGACATTAAAATCTGAGTTTGACACTATCAGTCATCCTTAAAGTATCCATGTTCTTCTCTGTTTTAAGACTGTTTGAACAGGGTTTGCTGATCAGTCAGCATGTCTGACTGCATTTTAATGGGGCTATGACGAGGAAATCCCTCAAAGATGTGGCAACGGAAGTATTGTGTGACAGCTTGCAAATTTGATTCATGTAGTCTACTTGGATTTCCCAGATTTCCTTTTGTTAAGGTGCTGTGCCAGTGGTCTTAAAAGAAAACAAAGCTACAGTAGGATAAGAAGGATGGATCTCTTGCAGCTAAAGCTAGAAAACAGAACACAACAGAATGACCAAAGTCACAAGTGAAGTATTTGTGTTGGTGTCTATACTGTTTAACACATCCAGAAATGTCCTGCAAAAAAAGTGGATAACGTGTACGGTGTAGCAGTCCTTAAATAGACTGAGCATCTACAATCAAATTATTGTTTGTCAGACAGCAGAACAGAGATAAGAATTTTAAGAGAAAAATATATTCACATGGGAATTATATAGTGATCTTGAAATGTCACGTGTTCCCATGTATACAGACATGTATCTGTCCTCACTAAGCTATAGCTCTTCATTTCTGGTGGCTCTTGGAGCAAGTTCTGTGATGGTAAAGGGGTGCCAGCTCATAGGGCTGCTCTGCTCCTTGCTTCGCAGCATGGGAGTACAAGCTGCTGTAACAGATAACCGTTCACATTATTTTGAGGTACATGATACATATAGACCCTAACCACGAAGGTGGAGAACAACATATATCAAAACCATGGTTAAATTTAAGAAGTAAAACATTTTTTCGCCTTCTTCCTTTCACTTCTTAATGGTTTTTGGGGGTTTGGTTTTGGGGTTTTTTTTTTGCTAGACATTAGAATTGAGTAGTTTAATGGCTGAAACAAATTTTCTGGCATGACATAAAGTTATTAAAACTGAAGAGGAAAAATGTAATTTTGCATAATGCTACATCATCCATGAAGTTCTTTATTTTCTTCCAGGTAACAAATAAAAAGCCTATAACAGTACTTGACATACTTGAAAAAATCCGCCTGCATGTCTCAGTGCCACAGTGTGATGTGTTTGGATACTTAAGCATAGAATCTGAAATTGTGGTTCTCATCATTCCTGTGGATCAGAACCCCAAACCATTGCAGGTAAACTTATGTTATTTTTTTTACCCAGTATGGATTTACTTCATTTTTGTATGTTTACACTTTACTATTTTCAATATAGCAGTTTTAAAATTGTGCATTTTCCTGTGTACTTAGTACATGCGGATTTCTCGAGTGACTGAAATCTGAATAGCTAGTATTAGGGATGCTAAAACATGTCTTGAGAATCCTGCTTTCTTCATCCAGCTTTTGAGGAATGCCAAGGATAGAGTGGTATGATGTTTGGTTTTAAATTAATAAATGCAGAACCCTTAACTTTCTATGGCTAAAATAATAGAAAATATAAACTGATGAAAATAAATAAATTAGTGAATGACCTCTTAACTTATTATTAATTGTATATTAAATGCATACCTGTGTATGAAATGGTACTCCTTTGTCTCCTGTGTAATGGTTAAAAGTAGACTGAAGTATATGTGATACTAGAGTCATAGAATCATAGAATGGTTTGGGTGGGAAGGGACCTTAAGCTCATCTAGTTCCAACCCCCCCCTGCCATGGGCAGGGACACCCTCCACTAGACCAGGTTGCCCAAAGCCTCATCCAACCTGGCCTTGAACACTTCCAGGGATGGGGCTTCCACAGCCTCTCTGGGCAGCCTGTTCCAGTGTCTCACCACTCTTAACAGTAAAAAATTTCATCCTAATATGTAAATCTACCCTCTTTCAGTTTAAAGCCATTACCCCTCATCCTATCACTACATGCCTTTGTAAACAGTCCATCTCCAGCTTTCTTGTAGGCCCCTTTAGGTACTGGAAGGCTGCCGTAAGGGCTGAATTAGCTGAAATTAGGCTGAAGCACATCATACATATTGCTACCATATTAATACACTGTGCATGTCTTGATGTTAAGCAGTAGTTCATACCAAAGAGGATCTGTTGACACAATTCTGAGACTATCCTCATTTTTCATATTCTTTTGCACCTTATGGTGAAAAGTGCTGGGAGATCCCAAAATCCTATTACCTTAAAAGGGAAATAACATTCCAATAAGCTGCCCAGCTTGCTGTGTCATAGCTAGTTCATGCTAGCAAACAAGAATCTAATGCTCACAGTACTAAACTGTAAAGGTAAACCAACAAATGCCACTCAAAGTTCTTCCAGTATTTTCTTAGGAGCAGTTCAGAGCAATAGAATCAAGGCTTTGGCTATGTATTGCATTATTGTTGTCTGGGAGCTGTTCCTTCATTTTTACTTTCTGCTTGTTAACCTGTGCAAGACCAGTGAGGGTATCTTCTTCCTATTAAAAGGAACATAATTCCTTGCCATTTTATAGTTGTTTCTAATAGTCTTGCCTGGCCCTGCTGACAGCACTTTATAACGAAGTCCCTTTGGAGATCAGGTGCGCAGACTGGTTCATTCTGTTATCTGACATGTTGATGTGTACTAGTGTAAAATGAAGGATTTAGCTTTGAAAAGGAAGGGGAGAGAAAACCTGCCCACAATCTCTCTCTTACCTTTTACAATACAAACAGAATTTAGGCAGGTTCACTTCCTTGTTCTTTATTTTGTATTGATGGCTGCTTTCCATTTCCATTTTATTTCTACAGTCTAATTTTGCATGTTCAGTATTGCTTCAGGGAGGTGCTAAAGTTACGGAGTTATGGTATAGCGTGAGGGTACAGAATCACTGCCATAAACTTTGCAAGCTGCAGTATCTAATAGAGTAGTTGTTTCTCAGGCAGATATATTGTATGTTTTGCTTGCCAGTGCTACTGGAGCAACCCTGTTATGTTCAGCTTAGCTCCAGCTTAGGTCTCCTTCTTTAGCAGAAATAGCCCATTATGTTACCAGGACTGAGGAAACAAGGTCTTGAGCCTTGCCAATCCGGTCGGCTCTGACTCCATCTGTAGCAGGTGCTGCCAGACTCCTGGGGAGAGAAGGACTCTCTGAAATCAGAGAGGCCATCTGAAACCAGGGGGGAGCTGCGTATCTCACTGGTGACACCCATTGCTGAGCTAGAACTTCCTCAACTTTCAAAGCTTTGGGCATCCAGATATGAAGTTTGTAAAGTTAAACTTCATCCAAGGCAGCTTCCAAACCTGTTAAAGAGACTTAGTACTAAATTGATTCCTGGGTTGCAGTAGAAGGCAGGGTGGAAAAAATGGATTTTCTAACATAAATTCATAATTATCATCATGTCAGTGGGGGAATGGAAACCTGCATTTTCTCAGGTTTTCCTATTACTTGCATTCTTCTCTACCCTCCCCATAAAAGAAATCAGTTTTCCCTGATTTGGAAGGAAAAGCCCAATAAGTAGAAAATCCTGATTCTTCCACTGTTACAGACTTCAAGGCAGTATCTTGGTCAATCAGGAAGGAAGTCCTCAATTTTAGAGGTACTTCATTTACTGTGAGCTTTTTGGTATCAACATTCAAAACATCACCCACGATAACTCACATGTACCTTCCTTCCCCCCCTTTTGCTACTACTCAGGGCTTCTACCGTAGCTTTCATAGTACCAAAGTCTATGATAAAAGTGCTCCAATATGTTTTCTAACAAATACTCCCCAAAATTATATAAATCTTACATGCTGATGAGGATAACTCAGATTTTCTTTCCTGAATTTTGCTATCTAGCATCATTTTTGCGTTGGCATTTTACATGGCAAGAAAAGAAATAATAATTTTTTTTTGTTGTTTCTTAGATTGAAGCCTGCAATAAAGAAGCAGAAAAGATAGAATCACTGATAAATTCAGACAGTCCAACATTAGCATCACACGTACCGCTGTCAGCTCTAATTGCATCTCAAGTACAAGTTTCATTTAGCATTTCTTCTCCTTCTGTTAAAGTGGTGCCTGTTCTGCACTCCATGTTCATAAGCCTTTTATTCACCGTGTCAGGATTAATATATTATATATAACTGCTTAGAAAATATGCATGAGTATTGCAGTGTTTTATATTGTGAAGGACATTCAGAATTGTTGATCACTGAACCAGAAAACAAAAATTGTAGAAGATTTGATGAACTAATACGATGAGTCTTTTATTCATTACTAGTGAGATGCACAGCATCAGCACAATTAGATTGTTTTCCATTGATCTTGGAAACATAAAAATACTCTGGAAGGTTCTGACATTACGGATTTATGATTTTTGCAAGAAGGGGTCTTACAGAGTTTATTTCAGCAACGAAAAAATAGTGTTGTGAGTTTATTGAAGAATGTTAATTTTATATTATTCAGATGCATATCAGTGACAATGAAAAGCATGCACCTATTTTAAACATCATTTTTGGAAGAAACAAATTGCTGCTACTTACTTACCTTACCAAAAATTTAAGAGTTTATTCTCATGTAAATATCCTTTCATATTTTATTATGAAGAAAACTAACTAGCCCTGGGCCTATTTCAGTAGACGTCTTTACTTGGACTAGTGAAGATTTGCAGGATATTGGGCTCAGTGCTTGTAAAATGACAATCAAGCTCTATACTAGTACCTGACTTCAGTGAAGAAATATGTTCTTTTTATAGTTTTGTACATTTCAGAATCTCTCATTGGATGCAAAATTATAAAGAATCTCAGTATCTATATTTAAGTGTCATTTAAAATATTGCAGTATTTGCATGTTATCTAATGAAATTTACACTTTAAATGTTTATACAAACAGTATGTTTTATTACTTACTGTATTTTATGCACCTGACCTTAGTCTACATGAAGTATTTTATATCAGTATTATGATAGCCAACTCTTGAAGTATATACAGAAAAACTTATTTTTGCCAAAATGCTGAACTTTGAAAGAAAGCACTGAAAACTTTTTGAACATGTATGTTGTAGCATGTTTGTAGCAAGTATTTTCTGCTAAATCTTTTAAATGCAAAAGTATTAAAGCTTTTTATTTTAATAAAACACTTTGTCATGTGTCCATGTATACAAATGCATGTAATTTTACAGAGTTCTGCAATACAGCATATATTTTTCTTTGTCTCTGAAATCAACACTTAAAACTAGCTGCAGTTACATGTGTTTGAGACTAACACAGTTTAATGTTTCCAAATAAAGTACATTTCAAGGGGGGTTGGGGGGGGGTACCAAATCTGTGTCACATGCATGTAAGTTTATGCTATGAATGTCAGACTCGATTAACTATAGAAGAGGAATGTGGATGTCTTAATGAGACCCTCTTGGGTAAGGTTACAGTCATCCTCAGTTTTGATTGGGAAGAGTCCTCTCTCACCTACAGCTGGAAATCTGCACAAATGTTAGGGCAGAATTACTACCTTATCTGTACCTGAACTTCAAGGCCCAACCTCCTCCAAAGCAATCTGAGTGCCTAGATGGGTATACTTGCAAGCCGCCAGAGTTTCTCTGAAACCTCCATCAGTTGCTTTTCTAAGCATATCTCTTGTTTGTTCTCTCCTAATGAGTGAAGAGCCCTTTTATATTTTAAGTGCAATTGTACTCTATATAGAGTTTCTGAGTACTTTTGACAGATGAGTACAAATGCAGAGAATCTCTGGAAGTGTTCTTGCCAAGTAACTCCAGGAAGACTCATGCACATAATCATCAAAGTCTGAATACAAAAAACCTGTTGAATGTGTTGATAATACGTTTCTGAAATATCTTCTGTGGATTCTTTAGAAACTTGGACATAAGAGCATAATAAATGCATTTGAAAAGCTTTTTGAACTGAGAAGGCTTAGATTATCTTAGCAGAAACAGCAAGCAATTCAGATGGTTTACTGAATTCTTTATTTTTTCCAATTATTACCAAGTATCTCTTCAACTTGTAGCCTGTTAGCTTGCTTAGCATTTAGCTGAAGCAGTCTGGTGCCTACTAAAATGAAAGGAATTATAAATGTCTTAAGAAAATAGATAGACAAATATATATATATGTGTGTGTGTGTATATGCCACACTGGAAAAATGAGTTAAGAGTTTAAAAGCATACCTATATATAGTGATTTTTTTTTTCACAGCAGTGAATGTTTTCTTCAATGAAAGATAATACCAAAAAAGTTACCTCAATTTGTATGAGGAATCTGGAAAAAAGCCCAGAGATTTTTGAATTCATATGTGAGTGTCCAGTATTTGCTAGAAAAGATAGAAGATTTTGAGTGGTTATGTTAAATATGTACAGAACCAATGAGATTTCTTATAATCCTGAATTCTTGAGCATAAGCCCAGCATCCAAAGTGTACAGGGCTTAGGTTCTTTTTGCTGGATGAACAAAAGTACTTAAGTATTTTCTAGGTTTTCTCAAGACCTCGGACTACCTCAAAGGAATAAAGAAACTACTTACAGTTTTGAATTCAAATGAGCTAAGAGAAAAGATGGAAGAAACCAAGCCCAGTTTTACTTGCACGTTACGAAATTTGAACCTGATGGGGACAAATTTGATACAGGTTTCAGATGAGTTTTCCATGTAAGTGTTAATGATGTTCTGTCACCATCTGTGTGGAAATCTGGGTTTGCTTAGCAAGGAATGGACAGCACAAGGGCACTTCAAAGCAGCACAAGCCTGTTTGTTGCTTTTATACCAGGACTCAGCTGAAATATTTACAAAACCTTATTTTCTTGTCTGCTGAAAACCAGAGATAATGTCAAGAATTTGCTCTGGAGAGATGCTTCAGTTCTGTTTCAGTTCATTGAGGTTGGCTCTTCTCGACAGGGTGGCAGCAAAGCGGAGATGCCAGCAGTGCCTGTTTGTACACCTGCTAGGAGTGGATTAACCACAGGGGCAGATACCAGAGCAAATAAGAGCAAGGGATTTCTGGTTTACACTTTCTGCTCAGGACTGAGTCCAGCAGGAGCTGGGATCTCTGAATTTCAGAGAAGGTAATAGTCGGTTCTGTGGGAGGCTGCTGTAAGAGGGCACGATATCGCCCTGTTCTTTTATGCTCCAGTTTTATGCTACTTCACCCAGTGTCTTAACTTGGAGATTTGCATGTATGTATCTTGATTGAAAGGTAAAGTGTTACTTATACACCCTTACTGAGTTTTATGACACTTTTCCAAGTCTTCCTTTCACGCATGACAAAGTATATTTCAAAACTTTCCAACACCACTGCTATTTCTAGGAAACCCTGGGAACATTTACATGAGCAAATATAAATACGTGAGTGCTTTGTGAGATTGTGGCCTAAATGTTTCATAAGTGAAGTCTGGACTGTAAGATGACCCTCTAGTCAAATGAATCCCAAAACAAACAAAAAACAGTACTGGGGGGGCGGGGGGAAGGTTTATCTGCCAGGGTTGTGCTGGACTTAACTGTGACTTCCTGCATGTGTTCTGAACTGGTGCGTTTATACAGTAACAGCAGTAGCTCCAGCTGTTGCATGTTGAGTGCAACTGAAGGTAGCAACTGCAGGTAGCAACTTCACCTCCTACCAGTGGCTGCACCTGGCACTTCTAAGGCAGTCTGCCTTCCATTGTAAATGCTCGTGCACTGCTTGTTTTTTGCTCTTTTCCCACTCCTCTCTGGGCTACAAGCCCATCGCATAAGCCAGAGATTCTGAGCGTAAAAAAAAGAAAAAATTCTCTTTGAGAAAAATGTTTCCAAGCCTTAGCAGGTTGGTTTGTCTCAAGTTATCACACTCCACTAAAAAGGATACACTTTTAGCATTAAGTAGCACATCAACTTTTGCTAATGAATACCATGAAGCTGAAGGTTTCAGTTATTACATTTGAAGCTGATCAATTCTGTATAAATTCAATGCTAGCAACATTTGCATTATTTGAGGCTGATTGTGTATGCCAAAAGTGGCATTTAAAGCAAAAGGAATTACTTTGAAAATTGAGGAAACATCAATTGTTCAAAAACTTTCTTAATTTTAATGGCCTTTGTACATACACTGCTGAATGAAAAAAAGAATGCACATTTCCTCTCTATTTAAGAAAGGAATTGTTTACAGTGAGAACAATCAATCACTGGAACAACCTCCCCAGGGACCTGGTGGAGTCGCCACAACTGCAGGTTTTCAAGATGTGACGATGTGGTGCTAAAGCACCACAAGGTTGGACCAGATGATCCTCTGCAGTCCCTTCCAACCTGGGCTGTTCTATGGTTCTATGATTAAGTAAATACTTTCAGTTGCAATGCATGGAAATTTTTGGCTTATTAAGTAATTGTCAGATCTTATGAACAGTTAGAATTAATTTAGCATTGCTTTCAAAATGACATATAACTAATATTTCCCATTTGAGACAGCCTTTTTCCCAATATATACATTAAAGCCATTAGAATATATTTAAATACACTGATATAAGTTTTATTTATTTAAATTATGAACAATAAAATAGACTTCTGCAAGGATGACATAGCAACAGCTTTTATGATCAATAACTTCTTTATCTTCTAATTGGACTCTCCAGTGCTGCTGGGGGGGGGGGG